GTCGATCTCTTCTTCCAATTTTCCATCACTAGTAAATACAGTTCCGAGGTACTTGAACTTCTCCACCTCCTCCACTGACTCTCGGTTAATCAAAAGCGAGCAACGGGCAGGAGAACGAAAAAGCAGCTTTCATGTGACATCGGGAATGGCTTCTTGTGTGACGTGTGGCAAATTCAAATTCACGTCTACCTTGACAGACCACATGTTGTTGTAGAACTTCATGTAAATTCATCCGATTGCGATTAGTTGTTTTTACTCCTCTTTTATCCTTCAGCGTTATTCAGAATCGTTACACTGCTTCCGGGCGTTTCTTCCGTTCAGTAGCGCCTAATAATCGACCCCTCCGGTAACTTTTGTAGTCCTTCCTCAACGTTCATATCTATTTGTACAAATGCAGGTACATGTGGTTCATTTTTCCTTTAGCCAGCATCTCAGCTCGTCCAGTTATTAGCCACCTTATTGAACGGCTGATCCGTTATTCTCTCGCTGACATCGCAGTCGGGCTTGATGTTGTAATGGCAGCGTTGATCGCTTCTAATGATGATAGTTCGCACCTATGCCACTGCTTGGCGAAAGCCTGCCGACAGAATCATAGCTCTCAACAAAGAGGTGATATTCGGGCTCTTTCGATCCGCTCTTCCTTCGCGACGTCGACCGTGACTGTGGAACGTAAGTAAAAGTAACGCCTGCGATCTGCTAGTGTATTGATGATGTTCTTGTCCATAACCGACACGTCTGAAACTATTCTTTTCTTGTCCATCAGTACATAGTCGATTTGGTTCAAGGCTTTCCTTTTGGCTTTGCTGCGTCCACGCTTCGGAAAATTTAGCAGGCGGTTTTCCTAATATGGACATGGTTGGTTACATCGAAAGATATGAAGCGATTTCCATGTTCATTTCTTTCGCTTTTACCGTATTCTCGATAAACAGTTCCGTGAATTCACTCTCTTTACCATCACTGCGTTAAAATCTGCTTTGGCAATCTTGCATCTATTCAAAATCTTCATCTCGCCTTCCAATTCCTCGTAGAATGTTTCCATACCTTCACCTTCAACTTGTTAGGTCAGACTGTCAGCTTGGATTAATTTGAACTATCTTTGATTATTTGATGTGGAATTGCTATTTGAAGTGAAAGGACATCACAGCTCAGTATCAATGGTACAGCCTTCCTTTTTATTATGAAATCAACGACACGGGTCATAGATTGCTAAAAGTCCTTCCCGAGCAACAATTGTTCCCTGTTGTTCCGTTGAGCAAGAAGTCTGGTGGTTTGTTGAGTCTGTGCGTTCCAGTGGTATCTGCGTTGATTTAGATGTCAAATTATCGTATCTCCCGAGAGCGTCCTTTCATTATATCTGGTCATAAGGACTCGGGTCTCAGGGCTTACCACTCGTGTCCTGTATCCTGCCGAGTCGTAGATATTGTTGAAATTTAAGGGATATCCAGCATTTATGCTTCCCAGTTTTGCTTCCCCTTTGCATGTTTTTAGTCAGTATCTCTTTGGCAGTTTATTCTGGCTGCCAATCCTTATGAATCAATGCCAGCCTCTCCTCAGCTTTCATCCAGCCCAAAAGACTCAAAGAACTGTAGCACATTATGAAGTTTCGATCACTGAAAGATAGCATTGGCGAGTGGAGGGCAGCGCCACAGCCTGAACGGACAAGAGCGTGCTTTCACATCACTTTCGAGCACTCGCGTTATGGATGGAATGTTCTTTGCTTGAGAAATAGCTTAGCAGGAAAATCCGTAGCCATAGCACATTCACATTTTCCAATCAGCTAGGTATTAAACGTTACTGATGAATGGAAATCTCCTCACAGTGTTCCCGATCATTCCACAGAAAAGAGCCTGTCGAGAATATTCGGAAAATCTAACAAACGGAAGGATATACATATTTGCAGCGCAGCTTTTGATGTGAAGCAGAATATTTCATAATAATTTAATCTGTGGTGAAACTTTGAAGAAAAATTCAGCTTACCGTTTTCAGTGTGACCTCTTACCATATAATTATGTTCCAGTTGACTTTTTATTTGTTTCCAGGACTGCGAGTCATAATTTACTCTACAGAAGCTGTATTGTCGAAAATTGACAATCAGTAGATCATCTGTCAAGCTTTCGATTGTTGTTGTTTCGCCTTGTTTCATCCAACTTAATGTTGCACTTGAATCCTTGCCTGGCTGAATGTACCATATTGGGAATGTCCACGTGAAGCTAAAATAAAACGGTGCAGAATTTGAAGATGAAAAATGCCTGCAAAGAGTTAAGAACGAATTCAAACAATACAGTTATCAGACTTAACGTTACATGTAAACAAACAATAAAATACTTTGTTTCCTTGGTAACTTCTGCATCCATTAGGAAGCGTTCCTGCCAGAAGATTGCTTTATCTTGAATTCTATTCACCGTAACCAGCGGAAATCCCATCCGCGTGATCCATGGATTCATCATCTTTTGCACATCCAATAATTCACCATTCCATAATTTTGGCCAATTGTATTGCTTTATAATCTAATTATAAAAAGCAATATAAGCAATAGTCGTACGATTACGCTTACCGTTTCAATTGCTTCCCATAGATTATTGTGATTTGCATTTCTGTATTTGTAGACACTGATGTAGTGCTACAATGAATCATAAATAGTACTATAAAGTTCAAGGCAACCTGTACTTGTAGCCCTAGCTGAAAAATACTAGTATCATTCGGAAGGATTAGCAGAGCGTTCAACATTCGCAGAAGCGATCCACCCTACGAAACAGTGTTATATTCAAAGTGAAAAGCTGCTTAATTACTTTGTTATAAGTGATCGAATCGAAAACTGATGAAATCTGCGCAGGGGACAATAAGTCTGGAACATAAATGGCATGACTAGTGGTCAACTGATCCAGAGCCATTGCCGTTTCTAATTGGTCAATGGGAAATCGCTGCATCTAAAGCAGAAAATCATCAACTATGCAGTTTGTGTATTAGCCATAATTTCTGATTAATAAGCGAAACATATGGTAATTCGCTGAAATTTTAACATTCCCTTAGGATACGATTTTTTGCAGGCTGTATTTAAACTATAGGTAAAAAAGTTTTCGGAAGCACTTACAGACGCATAAAATTTGTATTATGTGCTACAAAGTTTCAAAGCTCGGCAACGACACTCTTTTAAACCAATAAAGTGCAACCTACAGATGCATGATTACAAATTGTTTTAAATGAACAAATCAATATATACCTTAAACAAAACAGACTGTGTTTATACATCCACTAATATTATGCCCTTACGGTAGCAAACTGGACTTTGTCATTGCTTTGCAGCTGTTGGTCGAAAGGTTATTAACTATCCACCGTGTGAATGCCTGATGGATGCATTGCGAAATCTTGACTTGAAGTTATATGCCATATAAAATGAATAATAGCGACTCTCGCTCTAGAGAGCAAAGGAACGTTCCGATTGAATCAGTTGAATGAAAGTCGGTAATTTAATAGCACAGCAAAATGGAGAAGCATTCAAAGAACCTGCACATCAATGCACATGGTAGTGGGTAGTGTTAAACTTGAAGACATATCACCAAACCTTTGAAGAAACGATTACATTTGCCAATTTAGACTGACATAGGGTTCTGCTGTCTTCATAAATTAACAGCGGTGTGAAACAAAGATAGCAGAAAATAGACAGATGTTTAAAATGAATGATTATTTCCTTCGTCCTAAAATAAATAAATGATTTCGTCACAAGATGCTATATAGCAGTAAAGAAAGAATCCTTATCATCATAGTTGTCTTTACAGACAATAGGAATGGCGACAAACTATTTGAAACACCCTGCTGCGAACGCTTATGAAAATTTAACATGCATTCCTTCTTCAAACTCTGGCTTATTTTGCAATCATTTTAGAACCTGACTTGTGGAGGTGTTAAGAAACAAGGCAAAATCGAGTAACAACAGCCTTTCTTGTGATATAGATAAGACCCTTGCAATTCGTCTGCTCTGGCGAAAAAAAAATCAAGCCGATTTGAAGCAAAATGTAATTCAATGAGTAGCTTAAGAAGAAACTTTATGCACAGCTTTATATGCCAATTACCTTACATTGGTGGTCATTCAAATATTTGGCTAAGAGAACAGTGCAGAACTATGTCAGATAAATCCCTGAATTTGGAAAACATAGCAAGTTTATGTGATATACATGTTCGATTACATCATTACTGAAAACATCAAAAAACAACTCTCAAAGCACTTAAATCATATTAAAAAAATTTTTAATTTGGGTAAGCGTCTGGCTAAGACAGTGAAATTACAAATCACAAATTACTATGCGGTCCGTTTCGTTCAAAATCACTCCACATCCAAAATATTGGAAAAATCGAGCAAAGCCTTCATTCAACCATATGTCACTCCACCAGTCCATTGTGACCAGGTCACCAAACCACTGAAAGAGTGCTAGCACATGATATCATGAGTAAGTATATTGAAACGTGTACTTGATGAGCCAATTCGTGAGCGATAACTGAGGCAACTCGATCCTTATTAGACTGCCATGATGTTGCATTATTATACAAAAGTGCAGTTTCACGATAAGTGATTAAACCCCAGTTCTCCATGGCGCCGGCTGCAAAATCAGGAACGGCTAGCATATCTGCAAAAAAAGCTTTTATGGATTGAACAATGTTTTCAAAATTTGACCCTGCTTAGGCAGTGGAAACTGTTCATTGAAATATTTTCCATAATAATCCAGAACCGTAGGTCCGGACATTGTTGCAAAAAGAGTTTCATTCTGTGCACCCGGTGGTGACCAAACTCTGAACTGCAGTAAAGAATATAATTTTTGGATTTCATATCAAAATGATGTGGTAAACGGTTATGGATTTAGCTTACCATGACTTGGGGATCGCTTTCTGTGAAAGATGTTCTTTTTTCAAATGCATTTACTGTGAACGCTAATAAGTACGAAGACATTCTTGGCGTTGGATGAAACACGACACGGTTCCAACCTCCTGGTTCTCTGAAGAAACATTTTCTTAAGAAACACAGATGGGAAATGAGCATCTGGACACTTACAAGGAACGGCTTTCTAAATCTTCGTTCGATAAAGCTACCATGTCTTTTGGATGAATGATTGTTACTCGGAAGCTTGCTTTGAATTCCGGCGAGTCGAAACATGGAAGCGCGGCCCGTGCGTTGCAACACTCGAAATGCGTAACTGCAAGCCACCTAAGACAAAATTCATTAATGAAACTTGTATAGAATGATGTTTTACAGCAAAATGGATGGGTAGTTTCTGCATATTATAAACCTTACGAAACATTGAGACTACTGTAGGCAGCAATGACTTTCTGAAAGTTAGATACTAGATAAATCAACACAAGTACATAACAATTTTCCTACTTTGTTTTTCCGTTCTCTTCATACTTGCTGCGATAGAATCCACCTAGGCTGTCACTTAGTATGCCACGGTAAGTTATTGTCATGATGTAGGAATGGTTCGTCAAAAGCTTTTGTTCTGGAAAAACGGTTACTCTTTCTAAAGTTTTATCAATGCTGTACGGATTTTGTTGCAGCTTGATGGGCGACCCATTTGCTTTTTCAAGTTTGATATAGTCAATTATTAAATTTTTCAGGTTCATTACAATCGTCTCTGCTTCCTTCTTGCATATCATTTTGATGGTAACGTTGGCATCGAAGGTGAAGTTTTTACTTGGTTCGTAGGTAACGCTAGAAGACGGAAGATACGGCCGCACTTGGAGATCATATTCAGAAGGAACTATTGTATCTGGAAGGCGCCAGTCAGATGGATTCAGAGGAGTTTCAGTTGTTGTTGCGATCGGAGCCGATGTGGTAGTAGTTTTTTCTGTTGCAGAAGTAGTGGCAACTATGGCATTCGACATTTCGCCATAATGTACGCCCAATCCAACCGCCAGAAGACAAAAAACGAAAACGAGCAAAATGGCTCCCGCAGCTAAGTACGACAAACGAATGTATCCTTTCTGCTCTCCGTTTTCCTCCATAAATAAGGCGCTTCTAAATTTTCTAAAATTTGAAGTTAGTGTTATAATAGAAACAATATTTGTTGTTTTAGGCAATGCTTATTCAGATCCACAGTATATGGCCAAAACATCATATAGAATTAAAGCAACTTTCCATGATGAAATACTGCAGTGCATCAGCAACTGCAACTGATTTTGCTCGTTTTTCTTCATTTCCCATGCCGGCTAAATATTTCCGACCCATATTTCCGACCCATATGTCCCCTCCTTAGAAGGTATGAATTACGATTCGTTTTTCTTTCAAAGGGCAAGCCTAATTGCCTGGGCTGAGATTCAACAATATCAAGACTTCCGTCTAATCCATTCTAATGGTCCGAGATGAGAACTGCATTTTATCATGAATGGTGATAGAAACCATGACATACATGAGCACACACTAACTTAATTCTGGAATATCACAATGTCACAAATGCTTCAGTAACAGTCAACTACTTACATAACGGAATCTGAGTCAGGCGGCTTCTGGAACTGCCTAAAGCGGCAATAATGCAGCGAACAAAGAGACCTTCAGACGATCTTTCTTATCTGTTATCAGGCTTTATATCTTGTATAGCGGCTTGACATCATTCTGTGCGTCAACAAACGTTGAAGCATCGACTTCGTTTTTATGGAGGCAATTCGCTCTGTGCAATGGTGCAGCAGATTAATCATCTTGAAGAAAGCCGCTGTCTTCAAAAGCTGAAAATGCGTGTGCTTTTTGCAAATAACTGTTCACATAAATTCAAGTTCTTAACTCAACGAACAAAGATTGAACTAATTTAAAATTTCGCACCGACATCCTTCGACAGCAGTGCAAAGTACACCTTGGCCTTGATTACTTGATTATCACACAACAACAAATTAAACTAAGCCATGAAAGATCATCAAAAATAGCCATTATGATGCTAGAGCAACAACTGCTGCAAATAACTAAAACAGCCTAGAGGCTTCGCACGTAATCCGAGAATGCAGCATCAGTCCAATATTTTCTGTTCTGCGCAAAATTCTGTTGTGAAAGATTCATTTGCTTTCTTAATGCCATCAGCCGCTTATTTCTTCTGCCAGAATCAAATAATTTTTCTTTTAGATGTTTCTTTTCAATGTATAAGGGGACATATCCAAGGCATTACGGGACCGGGGACCCATACCTTACTTTATGAATAAATTTTTGTTCACTTCTTACATAAAAATTTATAACTATTTATCAAGTAGGCTCGAACACTTCAGACGTGTCTTTGAACTACTTTGTACAATGCTTCAAAATCGGTTTACATCCATTGCGATATTTCCTGTAAATTTTGCATATCCCCAAGCTATAGCGGCAGGTGTTAACATTTTGGTCCCAAGAAAACTTGCATTTTAGAAGCAAAGATTCCTCGTTAATTACGCATTATTGCGCATTCCTGATGAAGATAAGCTCTATGCCGTTCATTGATATTGAAATTCCATTTCAAACCGAACAGACGATCACTTTCGATTGTAGATCTATACATGGGCCGATTTTCATTCCGAAAATTAACTCTGATTTTGTTTCCACCACTTAACACTGTAATTTTTAGCAACCGACTGACTGTTGTATTGCCCAGGCAAAACAGCATTTCTTGTTGCACAAACGAGAGCCCTTTCGACTATATCGGTGCATATTTTTACAGATAACGTTAATACGCATCTAGAAAGATAAGCAGTCGGACGTTACACATGTAGAACTGACTCTACGTTTAGTTAGAACTAACTATTTAATGCTTATTATGTGGAGCATCACTCTATTTGTATGCTAACTGATACTGTAATTATCGATGTCGTCAAGCAAATTTCTTACGAGCACGCGTCTCTGTCTGTTGAGAACACCCTCTGAGTCGTTTGCATATGCAGAAAATCTCTGGCTTAGGCTACGCCTGCCTAACGGCTACGAAGTCGGCTGTATTCACAGTTTTTCGTCCCGTTATTACACTAGTATGGAACCGGAAATTCAGTGCATCTAATCTGCTCAAAGTTTATCTTAAGAATTACACCGTCAGTAAACCTGGTTAACAGACAGAACATTTCGCATCATTCGTTCACATAGTCGCCGTTGAAGAAAAGAGTGGCAGAGATTAGAATACGCGTCACTGCTTTTTACGTTCAATGCATGTGTACAACGGTTTTCCAGATTTTACTCTGCCAGGGCAGATGCAACAATAAGGAACGTATTTAAAGAATGCATGATGTTCCTCACAAGTTGGCGCTTTCACTGGGGGAGGCGCTGAAAATTTATTCAACGGGTGAAGGCATAATATACGAGTAAACTTGGTATTTAATTTGAAGAAATGCTATATTGCAAAGCCATGACGCGTTGGCCTGTGTTTCCTACCTTACTCAAGATTAAGAGTTTGATTTCCAAGTGGTGCTGATGGATTGCTTAGGATCTGTTTGGATCCGTTCCGATCTTACCAAAAATCGCTTTAAAATTTGAGATGTTGTATCTGGATCACAAATTATCATGATATTGACGACATACATGAGACAGGAGAAAAGTGAGGTGATGTTCAATGTACATTTAAAATTTACAGAGCTGTCTCCTAGATTTTATTAAATCGAGTTCTGATAAGAAGCAGTGGGAAGCATTTAACGCATTTTGTGCTAATTTAGTAGGGATGCAAATCACCGAGGAAATAAATTAACGAAAACAATCAGAAAGAACAATCAAATACCACCTCATTTCAAAGCATGTGCATTAAATAGCAGAATCGTTAAACCAGGAACGTATGAATTATGCGCAATAATTAATTTAGAGAAAATTAATCCAAATACAATTATTAGTTACGAAGATTTCAAACAATATTGGCAAGCCTGAGATACAGGCGTTCGTCCATCATTATGATCTGCATGAGAAAAGAATACTTTTTATCTAAAACGTTTTCCTGCAGACTTTAGAAAATGGAAAATAGTAGTCACATATCGCATTTGTCGACAAGCAGTCGTCCCTACGTGGATAGATAATAAAATAGAGAGACAAAATAAATAACGATCAAGATAAATGTCTAGATAATGGATAAAAGCAAGAGAGAACAGCCGGATGACTGAATTCAACGCTTACTGAAATAGGCTAGCTGGAAAGAAAATGTTCCTTACAATAAGAAGCTGATACAACAATTAAATGAAATTACTGCAAGAATTTGATTTCGCAGCGGCGTAATACACAGTGTAATAATATACACAATATACCAGTTTGCACTTTAGTAAGATCAAATAATCCTTCGGATAGATAATTTCTTTGTCTAAGCACATCCATTGGGGCTACGGCATTTTTCATCGACAGGACCATGGGCTACTGGGTTGTAAACTGTTTCATGGTAGACTTGTTGAGCAATTCCTTAATTGTTGGGGGGACATCCAAGGTCATTCCCATTCTAATGACAGTTTCTGCAACGAAACCAAAAGAAATTTGCCCAATCGCCTTCATCTCTGTGTTACTTAAAGCACTGGAACCATCATTCGATCGGTGTTCCTCTTGGAAGCTTCATGGAGCGAAAAACAACTGGTAATTTGCTTATGCGCAGGCGCTTCTACCCTAGATGCTCTATCCACCTATACGGACTTGGTAGTCTCTGGACTTGACCGCGACAGTACCACTGTTAAAGCCGTTTTGTCAGACCTCTCGGGAGTTTTCAACCTTGTGCCAAGGGGTAGTTTTTTCTGCTGTTTGCGATAGGCAGGCTAACAGAACAACCTGCTCCGATGGCTTTCAGATTATTTACTTGACCGGCAACAGTTCTTCGCGGTTCGAAGGCACTGTTCATCAACGAAGCGGAGCAGCTTGGGCGTTCTACATTGTCCATTGTTATCAACCCTGCTATTTTTTACGTGATTCGCTATGCCTCGTCAGACCTGTCTCCTGCATCAGATACGCTGCTTACACTTCGCTTATTTCATCCACAAGAACGGAACACGACTTGCGCTACCTGCAAAATGTGATGAAAAACACTGAGCTATGGATCAGGAACAGCGATTTAAGGTTCAAATAATCTGGCAGAAGAAGAACATCAGATCGTCTAATCCACTCTCCTTCATCGAACATCGTATCAGCTTAGAACAAAAGTTAGTTCAGGGTTGCGACACCACAAAACACCCTGGGATCATATTGAACGGTAGATTGGACTAGTTATATCACATGATGTAAGTGTTCCTAGACGTTAGTAGGGCATCCTTATATCGATTGAGGCCAATCAGACTGATTCATCACCAAAAGTAGCAGTACGCCATTTCGTTTTCAGACTAATAGTTCCCTTAATCACTTACGCCAGACCAGGGATATTCTCAGGCTTAATGAAGAAGGATTTTAGGTTACAGCGTCGAGCCACAACGTTAATAATAAGGAGTAGCAGAATCTCTACCGAAGAAACTGCTAGCCGCATAACGAAAATAACAGTTTCAGCTGCATGTCCGGGGCATAGCATTATGGGTGGATGAGTGTCATCCGTTATACTCGAAGTTTCAATGCACTATGTCCCTCCATCAAGATGCCAGCAGCGCCTTTTCAGCTCGGACAGATCTCTCTCCGGCAATCCATTCAATCTTTCCTGCCAAGGACTCTGAGTCAGCCAGAGGTACAAGTGTAATTGCGTGTAAGTAACATTCTAACTTTGCATTAACCTTCGGTGCATATTTGCTTTGTGGGCCTTTATAGTTCTATAGAAATGAACGCGCATATGCTGAGAACAACGCCAGTTACACTATATAATCAACCTGAATTGACTTGACTAATTAGACGCTAAACTTTCAGCGCACATAACAATCATTATTGCTCATAAAGCTGTATAACGACTTTATGTAAATGCAAGCCAGCGAGGAACTGACGCCTGTTCGGAAAATCCGAAGAGCCAGGCGGTTATCAACAGGCAAGAAGAGGAGAAAACGCTGCTGCTTCAGAAACTGTCAGAGACTCGGAGACAGGAAAAAGATTACATATGGTAACATTTCATAAAGCCAATGCAGGACCTCGA